CGATCGTGGGGGGGGGGGGGGGGGGGGTGGTTGCAGGAGATGGGGACCCCATCCCTCCTCCTCCTCCTTCTCCCTACCCACATCCGCCCACCCCCACGCGATGGGCGGCGCAGCCCCAGCTCCATTTATCATCATCTGCGGGCAAGTGAAGTGTGCAGGGAACAGCTGCTCCGGTCGGCTGAGCGCCGAAATGGGGCGGGACGCGGGGCTGGGGGGAGCTGGGGGGGGGCTGCGGGCTGCCCTGGGGGTACCATAACCCCCCAGGCACTGCGCTGGTGTGGCGGGAGGTGCTGGTGGTATTGGGGGGCACTGGGGAGAGGGTGTGTTAACGGGGTGCCTTGGAGGGAGAGCGCATTACTGGGGCGCATTAGGGCAAGGTGCACTAATGAGAGTTCATGGAAGGGGTGCACTGGAGAGAGGATGTCTTGAAGGGGTTCATTGGGGAGGGGGAGCTGGACAGAGGGTGCAGTAAAGGGGTTTATTGGGGACAATGCCATAAGTAGGTGCATTAAGGGGGTGTGATGGAGAGAGGGTGCATTAAAGGGATTCACTGGAGGGAGGGTGCATTAGTGGGGGGCATTAGAGGGGGTATTGAACAGGGGGTGCATTGCCAGTGGGGCAGGGATAGATGGATGGTGGCATCTCCCCATCTGCCTCGAGGGTTTGCCCCTGCCCTGGGCAAGCCCTGCGGGTCCCTTGGCACTGCCAGGGGGGGTCTGTCTGTATTCCCTCCCCCCAGTTCCTCACACTCCCAGCTCCTGGGGCAGGATGTCCTTTCCTGGTCTGTCCCACACACCCTGGCTCCCAGCCTTCCCTTTTCTCTCCTCCCTTAATAATCAAATTCTCCGGAGCACTTTGCGGTGTGGCAGCCAGCCAGAAAGGGTTTCTTTAAACTCCACCAGCTCACAATTAAACAAATCCGGGGCTGACGCTACTCGACAGGCGCTTATTCCCCTCCCTGAGAGCCGCTGGGGGAACCGAGGGGGGGTCCTATCCCTTCATTTCCCACTCCGATGCCACCTCACTGTGTGGGGCTGTACCCCTGGGTGGGAGGTGAGGGCTGGGAGGGGGTTTTTGCAGAGGTTTTTGGGTGGGAAACAGGGGCCCGCGGTGCCAGCACGGCTCCGATGGCGGAGCATCCCCCTGTGAGAGCGCGCTGCTATTTTTAGTCGCTGAGTCCTTGTTGATGGCGCAGCAGCAAAGGCGAGGGAGCAGCCGGAGCAGCAGCAGGGCTGGATCAGGCCCCGCGGGATGAGCAGCAGCTGGGAAGCGAGGCCAGAGCATGGGGAAATGGGGGACATCCTCTGCCCTCCGGGTCTGAGGTGCTGGGGGTCTTGGGTGCTTACCGAGGGTCCCTGCCATGGGAAATCCTGGGCTTGCCTTCAGAGGGCTCTGGATCCAACCATGCCATGTCCCTGCCAGGCAAGGGTAAGGGGGAGGAAAGGGGAGAAGGCAGGGGAGGAAGGAGGGGTTGGGAAAGGAAAATAACACCGAAGCCAGCCAGGCAGCACAAATCCTCTGGAACAGCAGGCAGGCTGTGGGCCACCCTGAGCAGGCAGGCGACTGTGCTGGGCTGGCAGTGCCACACGGTGCCCCCGCTGGGCTCCCTCCATCAGCCCCTTGTGCCGTGTCAGCCCCCAGCACCGTGTGGGCTCCATGCACTGTGTCAGCCCCCTGCACTTGCAGCATGACCTTGTGCACCATCGAGGCCCTGGGTCCTGCACTGGCGCTGGGAGGTTTTGTGTCCCCCGTGGGTGACACAGGGCTGTGCTGGGCTGTCCACACTCCCAGGGGAATGAGAGGACAGCCAACGGTGAGCGCAGCTCCTTGTGTTGCAGGGACAGGGTCACACTGGTGCTGGGCACCACGATGGTCCCAAGTCCTTTCCTCCCTGATGGATACCCTGGGGACCCTTCCCAGGCACCCACACCGTGACCCTGGGCTGTAGCACCGTGGCTTTGCCAAGGGCAGGTGTCCAGTGGCAGCCGTGCCGCAAAAAGCCTTGTGTAGATTCCTGCCGTGGGGGTAGCAGCTGGAAACTTCTTTGGAAGCGCCGGGGGGAGCACGTCCAGCAGGGACGTGGCGGGGGCAGTGAGTGCTCAGGGCCCCCGGGACCAGCCACAGTCGCCTCCCCCTCCCGGGAAGGGCCGTAACCCCGCTGCTGTCGACAGCTTGATTTGATGCCATTAAAGGGGTTTGCTGGGAAACGGCTACATCAGGCGCAACATCTGGCGCGGCCCTTCCCCGGCAAAGCCGCGGTGGATCCGAGGGCAGAGCTGGCCTCTGGCTCCGCTGCCGGTGATGAGCGTGTCCCCTCCCAGGCAGAGCCGGGTGCCTGGGTGGTCCACAGGGAGATGGGGCCACAGCCTTTGGGCTCATGGGATTTCGACTAGAAAGCACATTCCCTCTGTGCGTTCCCACCTCTGATCCGTCCCCTCACACCACACGCTTTTGCTTATCCAAGCTTCGTCTCAGCTGTTTGGAAAATTAACAACAATTAATTAAAAACAATAATTAATTAATCACTATAATTAATAATAAAGGAGAAAGGGGGGAAAGGCTCCCCATAAAGCTCCAGTCTGGGGTCTTCTCAAGCCAATTTTCATTTTTCAAACCCACCCCCGTACAGAGAATGTGGGAATTGCTCCCATTAGTTACTCACACCACCACCCAGGGCTGCCCCACAACCTTGGCTTTGATTTCCCTGGCACAGGGCTGGCACAGGGCTGGCAAAGGGCAGCACTGCTCCATGCCATGATAGGGGTTTCGCACTGGCCTTCCCAGAATTTTGTGACCCACCTTTCCCCCAGAATTTGGGCCTTAACTGCATCCAGTTCCTCACACAGCCTGCAAGATGCAACTGCAATGAGGGGAAGTGACGTGGAAAACATCCCAAAAGGGGATGGAAAAGAGGGAGGGACAAGTTCTGTGCTGGTGTGGGTGGCACCCACTAGTGGTTCCAGTGGTGCCAGAGGGCACCATGTGATCCCTGAGCTGCCAGCGGTTATGGAAATAGAACTAAATAAAGCCCTGTGTGTGTACCTACACCCTGAAAAGGTGCTGAGGTGTTACCAGCGGGTGCTGTGAGGAAACAAGGCCGAGCTGGGACCCCTCAAACCAACTGTGCAGTTTATGCAGCTGTGGCAGAGCTGCCAGCAAAGGGACTGTCTGGAGCCATGCAGTGTTTGGTGTGGTGGTGGGACACGTGGGGACACACGTGAATCCATGTCCCAGCTCTAGGCTGCCTGGCACCACAGGGAAGCGTGGGATGGTCTTGGCACACAAAACACCAGCACCCCCTCCCCTCATAACACTCATTGCCTTAATGGAGGCTGAGGGGACAGCACTGGTGTCACTGCTGTGTCACGGTGCCAAGGGAGCAACGCCAGGGATGTTCCCAGGGACCTGTAGACTCTCGGGGATGCCCTAACCTGGGCTCCCAAATCTCAACCCATGCCTAAAACAGGCTCGTGTCCCCCCCAGCCCCCCGGACCCACTGGTGCTGGGGATGGGCAGGATGCATCCCCCCACCACTGAGCCCTTCATTAGCCCTCACAAGCCACTCAGCTGCCTCAGGAGATTAAACCAGTGACCCAGGTGTGTTCCTGCACCCAGCACAAGCAGAGTGAGGAAACAGGGAGCTTTAATGACGACTGTGGCGAGGCTCTCAGAAATGACGGCTGCTGGCGGGAGCAGACAGCTTCCAGATGGCATCGCGCCGGGGCAGGGGGATCGCTGGGGCAGGGGGGGCTGTGGGAGGCAGCAGCCGGCAGAGACGGGCAGAGCCAGCAAGTTGAAATGACTTTTTTTGCAGCAGAGCCTGCGGTTCTGGCCCTCCGCGCTGCTGCTTCCAGTAATTAGCCCAATAATTAAAAAGAATGGCGATAAGCAGGGTGTGCGGAGGGGCTTGCAGGATCCAGGAGTCCCCGGAGAGGGTGTGCAAGGAGGGGGGGGAGTGATTTGCAGAGGTGAGGAGTGGTGGGTGTGTGAAACACAGAGCATGAGGCTGGGGGACCCCAACGTGGCATGGGGGGGTCATTGTACCACATGGGGGAGGTAGGGAGGGTTGGGCAGCAGGGATGGGGCAGCTCCCAGCAGTGGGGGCAGAAGGGTGGCTGTGCCTGCTGCTGGCAGGGGAGGTGCCCATGGGCACCATGCTGCAGTGTGGGGTGATGCAAGGAGATGGGATAGCAGGGGATGCAGGGCGCTGCAAGGTGAGGATGAAGCACCAAGCGATGTGATGTGGGGCGACACGGCGCGATGCAGAGCGATGCGAGGTGACACAAAGCCAGCTGCTGTGATCCAGGGCGATGGAGCCCACGGGGATGGGATGCAGGATGGTGGGGTGGGATGCAGTGCGGGGCAATGCAAGCCGATCCAATGCAGGGCACCATGATGCAGGGAGATGAAGCGCAGGGCGATGTGATGCAGGGTGATGCGAGGTGATGCAGGGCAGTGCAATTCACGGCGATGCAATGCAAGGCAACACGATGCAGGGAGATGAAATGGAAGGTGATGCGATGCAGGATGATGCAAAGCAAGGGGATGCAGGGCAGTTCAATTCAGGGTGATGAAAGGCAAGGCAACATGAAGCAGGGAGAGGGAATGGAAGGTGATGCGATGCAAGGGTAGTGTGAGGCAATACACGGGGTGAACCAGGGCAGTGCAACAGGGCGATGTGATGCAAGGCAACACGATGCAGGGAGGTGAAACACAAGGTGTGAGGTGTGATGGAGAGCGATGCAAGGCAAGGTGAGGCAGTGCAGGGCAATGCAATGCACTGTGGGGTGATGCCAGACAACACGGGGCGATGCGAGGTGATGCAGCACCAGGTGCTGCATTCCAGGGTGGAAGGGAGGCAATGCCCATCGGGGTGGTGCCCGGCAGGCAAGGTGAGCTGGGGCGATGATGCCCCCGTGGCACAGGTGACACAGCCCTCTCGGTCCCCGGCCCGCCATGGTGGCAATGCTTCATTTGAATTCTTGCCTCTCTCTCTTCGCAGATAACGAGCCCGCGCCATGCAGTCCTTTCGAGAAAGGTGTGGTTTCCATGGCAACCAGCAGAGCTACCAGCCGACTTCACAAGATACATCACGCCTGGAGAATTACAGGCATCAAAGTCAGGCAGGGCCGAACTGCGAGCGGCAGAGGCTGGTGGCGAAGGAGTACTACAGTCAGCAGCAGCTGCCGTACGCGGGCTACGAGAACAGCGCCGTGGAGAAATACCACCGGGGAAACAAGCAATTAGCGGGGCAGCAGCTGCAGGGCAGGCCGGCCTTTTCCAATTACACCGTGCAGGAGAACAGCCCTTATCCGGCCCGGTATTCCGGGGACGAGAGCCTGCAGGCGTGGGGTGGCCAGCCACAGGCGCTGCCGGGTGGTGTAGCCAAGTATGAGGACAGCCTGATGAAGAAGACGGCGGCGTTGGCAGGTGGGCGGCCGTACCACGAGCCGGCGGCCGCCTCGCTGCCCTTCCGGACTCACTTCCAGCAGCAGCAGCAGCCGCAGCAGCAGCAGCAGCAGCAGCAGCCGCCCGCACTCCCCTACCCCAAGCTGCAGCGGCAGAAGCTGCCCAACGACGTCTCCTCGCCCATGCCCTTCTCGCAGAGCCCTCACTTCGGGCAGCACTCTCAGTCCTTCCCTGCCTCCTCCACCTACTCCTCGGTGCCGGGGGGCAGCCAGCCGGCACACTCCTACAAGAGCTGCACGGCGCCCTCGGGGCAGCCACCGCTGGAGCGGCCCCTGGGCAGCGCCGCCAGCCTGGCTCCCGGCCCCCGCGTGCCCAACCTGCACGGCTACCAGCCCAACCGCATCGGCTACGAGCAGCCCCCACAGCCGCCACCGCAGCCCCCGCAGCCACCGCCGCCACAGCCCCCTCAGCCACCGCAGCCCCCGCAGCCGCCACAGCCCTTGCAGGGGCGGCATCACACCTCGGAGTCCCTCCACTACCAAAACCTGGCCAAGTACCAACATTACAACCAGCCGGGCCAGACCTACTGCCAGAGCGACGCGACGCCCGTCCGGACGCCCGAACAGTACTACCAGACCTTCAGCCCCAGCGCCAGCCACTCGCCAGCTCGCTCCGTCGGCAGGTCCCCATCCTACAGCTCCACCCCCTCCCCGCTGATGCCCAACCTGGAGAACTTCCAATACAGCCAGCAGCCGCTGAGCACCGGCGCTTTCCCAGCCGGCATTGCCGACCACAGCCATTTCATGCCGCTGCTGAACCCTTCTCCCACCGATGGGACGAGCCCTGACGCTCAATCTGGGAACTGTAAAAACTTGCAGAAGGAGAAGCTGCCGGAAAACTTGCTGTCAGACCTGAGCCTGCAGAGCCTGACAGCACTCACCTCCCAGGTGGAGAACATCTCCAACACTGTCCAGCAGCTGCTGCTCTCCAAAGCGGCCGTGCCCCAGAAAAAGGGCATCAAGACCCCGGCGAGGACCCCTGAGCAGCTCAAGGGGCAGCACTGCAGCCCCGAGAGCAGCACCTACTCGGCAGAGCAGGTGGGGACTCCCCTGTCTGACCCTCTGAGCACGCCCCAGTCAGTCCATGCCGAGACACAGGACACTGACTATCTCAGTGGGTCGGAGGATCAGCTGGAGAGGAGTTTCCTGTACTGCAACCAGAACCGCAGCCCTGCCCGAGTCAACAGCAATTCCAAGGCGAAGCCCGAGTCGGTGTCCACCTGCTCCGTGACCTCCCCAGACGACATGTCCACCAAATCGGACGACTCCTTCCAGAGCATCCACGCCACCCTGCCCCTGGAGACCTTCACCAAGTATGTGACCAACGAACGGGACTGTCCCCGGCTGCTCCTCAGCGCCCTGTCCCAGGAGGAGCTGGCTTCCGAGATCATCGTCCTGCAAGACGCCATCAACGAGAAGGCGGACAAAGCCTGGGCCAACTTGCCCATGCTGAGCAAGGAGGCCAGCAAATCCCCCTTCCAGCTGGAGAACCACCGGCCCAGCCTGGACTCCATGGTGAAGGGCACCTGGCCCAGTCAGGGTGACTCCAGCACACTCACTGAGCCCCTCAAGATGGACAAAGCTTCAGGGGCCAGTGCAGGGAAGGACTTTGGTGAGGAGGTATATGAGGGTCCCCAGGTGGAGTTCACGGCCACTGAAACCAAGGATGTGCTGAAGGACACTGCCCCACTGGCCTTCAACTCCAAGCCCAGCATCCCAGCAGCGACATCGAGCGCAGGAGCCACTGACTACAGCTGCTACTCGAACACCACCGCCAACTCGGTGGGGTCTGAGAATGCCATGGAGAACTTCGAGTGGCCGGAGGAGAGCCTGGGCGAGGCATGCCTGCGCTGGAAGGAGCTCCAGGCCACTGACCTCCCCAAGGGCTTGTTCCCCAGCAAACTGGTGAGCTCCTGCAAGGAGAAAAAAAACGCCTGCGGCTTGGATCTGTGCGACGGAGAGCAGCCAGCCAAGAGCGAGCCGGCCCAGGACTTCGGGGAGCAGGTGATGGGGGAAGAGGAGGAGACGCTGACCTACGATGAAGCAACAAAGGCAGACAGCGAGAGGTGGCTGCAGGACACCCGGCACTGCTGCTCAGCCGGGGACTTCAGCGAGATTCCCATCATCTCCTCGCCGGATCTGAAGGAGTCAGACCTGGAGGCAGAAGAGTACTCCTCGCTCTGTGAGCTGGCCGGCTCGGAGCAGAAGTCGGTGACATACGATGCCTCGCCACCCAAACCTCCGGAGATGCCAGCCGTGCTGTCCTCCAGCGAGGTGCCCGTGTCCGCCGAGGAGACCGTCAGCGCGGTGGAGAAGGAGGGCTCAGCTCCCACCCCGCGCCTCTCCGGCCAGTCTGTCATCCTGCTGGGCCCTGCCGTGGGCACGGAGACCAAGGTGAAGAGCTGGTTCAAGTCCTCCCTTCCCCACATCCAGTCCGAGGAGGAGAGCGGCGGAGGGGAAACATCCCATCTGGAGGCTGCCGATGCCGAATCTGCCTCATCAGTCACGATCAAGCAGCAACTCACCCCCCCTGAAAACGTGCTGGGGAAGATGGAGCCTGTCTCACGGGGCAAGAGCCTCCGCAACAAGAGGGTGCACTGCCGGCTGCCGGAGGGGGACAACCCCGGCAGCGCCGTGCTGACCCCGTTTGATGAGCTGCCAGCGGCCGGCGGTGTGGCCGGTGCCTGCCTGGGGCCAGATGGACAGACGGAGGTACCGAGCAAGAGCGCCCAGAGCCAAACGCCGCGGTTTCCAGCCGAGGGCCTCCCGGCGCGCATGTGCACCCGCTCCTTCACCGCCCTCGCCGAGCCCCGCGCGCCGGCCCCCCTGGAGGGGCTGAAGGCCCCCACGCACCAGGAGAAGCTGGGGAAGAAACCCGGCTGCGGCGTGAAGCAGCGGGTGGCTTTCAAAGCCAGGAAACGCAGCAGTCGGCCGGCCCCCAGGGTGGTCCAAAACACCAGCGATGCCACCCTCCTGATGCCCGGCTTGGTGGCGGCGGAGGAGGTGGCAGGGCCGACGCCGCTGGAGGGGGATGCGGTGGAGGCGGGGGAGAGGGACCAGCGGTCGATGATCCTGCGCTCCCGGACGAAGACACAGGAGGTTTTCTACACCAAGCGGCAGCGGGGCAAGCGGGCGGCCGACGTCCGGCTGAAGAACTGCAAGGCACCCAAAAAGCTCATATCCAACAACCACCTCCCACCAGCCTTCAAGCTGGCGGCGCCAGGCAGCCCCCACAAGGAGAGCAAGGTGGGTGCCCGGATGAAGCTGCCCAAAGCAGGGCCAGGCGTGGGGGGAAAGATGTCAGAGCGGCCCCTGCACTCGCTGAAGAGGAAGTCCACCTTCATCTCCCCCATCCCCACCAAGAAGAGGAACCTTGTCCTGCGGAGCAACAGTGGTGGCGTGAAGGAGGAGAAGCCAGAGGGCCCCCCCAGCCTTTTCAAAAAGATGCCAGTGGCCAAGAAGGTGAAAGCCAAGCTGCCTCCGAAGAGCTCTGGTGAAGCTGTCCTGAAGCCCACCCTGCCAAAGGAGGCCCCTGATGTCTGCATCAAGATCACCTCCCGGGCAGCCTTCCAGGAGGCCACCAAGACCAAAGTGCTGCCTCCCCGCAAGGGCCGCGGCCTCAAGCTGGAGGCCATCGTCCAGAAGATCACCTCGCCCAACCTGAAGAAGTTCTCCTGCAAACCGGCAGCCACGGCTGCGGTGGCCGCTGTGACTGCCTACGGCTCCTCCCTGAGCCCGACTGGGGTGGAGCGGGAACGGGTGGTGAAGCACAGTGGGGTGGCTGCAGTGGTGGGTGACATGAGGCTGCCCAAGCCGGTGGCAGCACAGAAGGTGCCCACCATGCCGGTGGCTGAGCCACTCTGCCGGAACCCCAACGGCCGAGCACCGAAGGGGAAGCCAGGCGGCGGGAAGAAGCTCTCTCCTGACAGCTGCCAGGGCGATGCCTGTGGGCCGACATCAGGGGCCCAGTCCAGCCCCACCATGGGGGCCAAGAACCTCGGGCTCCTGCCCAAGAAGAGGAACCGCAAGGGCAAAGCAGCAGCGCTGGGCATGGCCAAGGCACCGTTGGGCCCTGCGCCGCCGCTGCTGCCCCGGGAGCGCGTGGCCAACCCGGGGGGTGGGGAGGAGGCACCACGGGAGAAGAAACCAAAGACTGAGGAGAAGGAGGCGGGGGCCAGCGATGGCCCCCCTGAGGGACGCTCTGCTGCTGGGCCAGCGCGGGGCCCAAAGCCGCGGGCCAACCACTCCAACTACAATGGCTACTCCAAGCGCCAGCGGAAGCGTCTGGGCCACGGCAAGGCCAAGGCGGTGCCGGCGCGGTGCAAGAGCCGCGGGAAGCGGCGGCGGCAGTCCCAGCAGGCCCCGCTGGTGCATCCCGCCGAGCCTGAGATCCGGCTGAAGTACATCTCCTGCAAGAGGCTGCGGGCAGACAGCCGGGCCCCCCCCTTCGCTCCCTACGTCCACGTGGAGCGGCGCGGGGAGTTCACCACCACCTGCACCATCATCAACTCGCCCGGCGACGAGGCGCGGCTGCAGCGGGGACCGGCGGGGCCGGCGCCGCGCCCGCGGGCAGCCCTGCCCGCCTCCTCCACCATGCACATGGGGCCGGTGGTGTCGAAGGCGCTGAGCGCCGCGTGCCTGGTCTGCTGCCTCTGCCGCAACCCCGCCAACTACAAGGACCTGGGGGACCTTTGCGGGCCCTACTACCCCGAGGACTGCCTGCCCAAGAAGAAGTCGCGGCTGAAGGAGAAGGCGCGGGTGGAGGGGCCGGGCGAGGACAGCACCGCACCCGCCGTGGCCGAGCGGGTGCCCCGCGGGATGGAGGGCGGCTGCGGGAAGGCGGCGCGGCCGGAGGGTGCAGCCGAGGCGGCCAAGCAGAGCGCGCTGCGCTCCAGCCCGCGGGGCATGTTCCGTAGGCTGCAGAGCTGCTACTGCTGTGACGAGAGGACAGAGGGCGAGGAGGCGGCCGAAAAGCCCCGGCGGCACGAATGTCACAAGGCCGAGTCCCCGCCGCAGGAGCCGGCGGGCGACACGCAGGAGCACTGGCTGCACGAGGCCTGTGCCGTATGGACCGCTGGGGTTTTCCTGGTGGCGGGGAAGCTCTACGGGCTGCAGGAGGCTGTCAAGGCGGCTGCCGACCTGGTAAGAGCTCGGCCGCACGCCCGGCGCCACATCCCGAGGCAGCATCTCCCGCTCGCTGGCCTCCTTCAGCCAATGTTATTCCTGGGGCTGCCCTGGGAAAGCGGGGCAGGTGCTCAGTGCCATCAGCCCCGCTGGGTCCCTGTGAGATTTGTGCTGCTGCATCTCTGACAGAACCTAAAACACTCCTTTTAGGTGCAGAAATGTATTTATGGGGTTATGTTTTGGGCCCCACAGGACTGTTACTTCTTCTGGTCCAGCCACGCATCACATGGGGTGGCTCAGAGTGGGAAAGATGCAGCAGGAATGGGAGATGAAAGTAGATTCAGCATGGCCTGGTGCTGTGGTGATGGGCAGCAGGGGAAGGGGGGCTGGAAAGATGGGACAACCCTGCCCTGCCCCTCTCCCAGACCAATTGGAGCATGGGCACATGGAGCGAGCAAAATAGGGAGGTCACTGATGGGGACCACCAAAGGGGGATGAGAAGCTCTGGGTGCTCCATCCGTGTAAGTGTTAAAAACCAGGCTGGACAAGGCTTGGAGCAACCTGATCTAGTGGAAGGTGTTCCTGCCTATGTCAGGGAGTTGGAACTAGATGAGCATTAAGGTCCCTTCCAGACCATTCTGGGATTCTGTGACATGGGGTTTTTGTGCTGGGGAAAGGGAGGGGACAGTCTCCTGGCAGAGTCTCCAGCAAGTCCTGTATTCCTAAGCCTGAGTGCTCATGTCATGGCTGTCTGGAGGCTGCTGCCCTCACCACAGGGCCAGGGGCTCCCATCCCTGCGGCACCCGTTGGGCACAGGGCAGGAGAAGGGGACCACCGTGGTCCTCTACCACCTCTTCCACCAAGCCATGGCACAGCCCAGGTCATGTCCCTTCCCCTCCGCACCTCCTGCCCCATGGAGCGTGGCTGCAGGCTCTGCCATCCATGGGAGGGGTACTGCAGGTAGGAACCTTGTGCATGGCTGCAGATGGCCGAGGTACAGTGTGGTCCATGGTGTGCTGGCACAGAAGGAGGGATATTCCCTGGGATAGGCAATGAGGGCCTGGAGAGGAGTGGGGACACCCACCTTGCCCTCGCTGCTGGGGCTGTTGGGGTTCTTCACTCCTGTGCTGGGCTCTGATGGGGTTTCTCTGTCTCTCCACATCTCTTCTTCCCTGCTCCGAATTCCTGGGTGCATTCACAGAAGTGCTCGAGCTGCCAGCAAGTGGGAGCCACTGTGGGCTGCTGCCAGAAGGGGTGTCCCCACACCTACCACTACGCGTGTGCCGTCGACACAGGTGAGCCCCGCTGTGGGGACAGGGGTGTGGGGTCCCTGGGCACCCTCTGGACGTGGGTCCCATTGCCCCAAGGTCAGGGTGAGCCTGTAGTTCCCCACCTGCTGGGATGGTGATGCCCACTGCACCGGCAGCACTGGCATGTCTTTATCTGGCCTCAGCTGAGCCCTTCATACAAATGCTGCAGCTGGTGTAGGAGGTGGTGGGTGGCCGTGGACCAGGGGGCCAGTGTGTCCTCCCTGCCCAGGGACAGTTTTACAGTGTGAGGTCTCCCCTGACATGTCCTTCTCTCCTCTCAGGTTGCTTATTAACCGAGGAAAGCTTCTCTCTGAGATGTCCCAAACATAAGGTAAGCCCAGAGCTCCCCTGTGCACCCCCTAAAGCTCCACAGCTCCCTGGGGCAGCAGGAGCTGCCTTCCAACCCCAAATTCCTGGGAACACCCATCCTGGGCTCTCAGCCCTGCATGGGCATTGTTGGGGGCATCACATCCCTGGGGATACCGAGGAGGTGACCAGTGAGTGGGTGCTGGGTCTGGGACCCCCAGCCGGGCTCTGGGGTGTGTGTGTGGGGGGTGTCTCATCCCCCTTCTCTGAGCACCGATGAGGTTGTTGGATGATGGTTGAATCCCTGCTCTAAGCACCGCGTCCTGGATGGGTGCCCGGTTATTGGCGGGGGGTGCTGATGGGGACAACCCAGGGCTATCCCCCCCGCCTCCATCGGGACCCCCGGGCTGATACCCTCCCTTCTCCCCGCAGAGGCAGCCGGTGTAGCGCCCGCGGGCACCCGCCCCGCCGCCAGCGAGGGACCGGCGGAGGAGGCAGCGGCCGGAGCAGAGCGGGGCCGGGCCGTACCGGGGACCCCCCCGCTACCCGTGAGCGCCCCGGGACCCCCCGAGCCCGCTCCGGGCGGGCGGAGCCAGTGCCGGGTTTTCCCCCACGCCGGGCCCCGGTAAAACCCGGCCTGGATACCCGGAGGACGGATCGGGATCCCCCACCCGCGATGGCTGCACAGGGGGGCGGGGGGTGGTCCTTGTACAAGGGGGGGTCCCGGCGATGTTGTCTTACTGTGGGGCCGCCGGACCCCCCCGTGGGTCCCCGGCTCTCCATATCACACTGATCTGATCTGAGATGTTGCCTTCAGCAAACCTCACGGTGTTTGTATATAGTTCAGCGGAAAAAAGGATTAAAAAAAAAAAGACAAAAAAAAAAAGACCAAAAAAAAAGTAGAAAAAAGAGAAAAACGAGGAAAAAAAAAAAAAAAAAAAGACAAGCAACGGCCTGCTGTTTGAAACACCACTCTGCTTTTTCCGTTTCGTTCTTCCATCTCCTGTCTGCCCCCACCCACACCCAGGGTGCCAGGGGGGCGAGGGGTGCTTGGCTGGGCCGGTGGGGAACCCACTGGGCTGGCTCAGCCCCGCTCCTGAACCCCAAACCCTGACGCATTGCACCCACCACCCTCACACTCCATGGGGCGCTGGCACTGCTGGGCTGGGGACACCTGGTCCTGCTTGTGAGGACCCCCAAAGCCCACCCTCCTGCCTCTGCTGGGCCTCGCCAGCACCCCCTCTGCGGCTCCTCGTGCGTGGGGCTTTGCTCCCTGTGCTTGTGCTGAACGAACCCTGACTTTGGGTACAAACCCCGTGGCTCTGGGTGCAAGCCCCAGGATCTGGGTGCAAATCCCATGGCTCTGGGTTCTGAACCAGAGGAGGAGGAGGAGGCATTTGCCTCATCCCTCCTCATGGCCCTGGCTCATCCCGCTCTGCCCTGGGTTTGCTCGGCTCCCTCGGCTTTTGCTTCCCTTCCTGGCTGCCTGGGTGGATCTGGGGGGCTGCCCAGTACTGGGGTGACCCCCTGCTCATGTCCCCAGGCTGCCCACCCCAGCCTTGTGTCACCTGCACACCGACACAGGCGGCAAATAACCAACCCAGGGCAAACCAACCCCAAATCCCATCTTAAAAACAGCCACCAGCCACCCCCTGACTCCAGAGCATCCTATGAAGGGGAGCACAATGCTGGCCCCATCTGTGTCCCCCGCAGAGCCAGCGCCCTGGTGTCCCCACCACCTCTCGTGTTCCCTCCATCCCACCCATCTCTCACCCCAGGGTTTGCTGGCCACACAATGTCTGTCGTTTCAGCAGCTGCCTCGGACACGGGAGCGAAAAACACAAAAAAGGAGGCGAGAAAAATAAAAAAAAAAAGGGAGAAATAATAATAAAAATAATTAATTTAAAGATAAAAAAAAAATAAAAATATCCCGGTGTCCTTGGCAGTGTTGCCTGAAATCTGGCTATTTTTAGTGACATCTTGTACATATGACTGTAAAATGGTAAACCGTGTGTATTATATATTGCCTCATTATATAGTGTATATATATGTATACATATACATATATATAATATATATGAAGACTGTAAATGTTAAGACTAGTGTTCTTATTAGTATATTGCTTCACACTGAAGATTGTGTGTAACAAGCTGTTTCTAAAAGATGTTTATTTTCCTTAAGAGTAAAAAACAGGTCATTGCATTCAGAGCGTCAATAAAGATACAACGATTGTTTTGGAAGTACGTGGCGCCCTGCTCGTGGCCTCTCTTTATCTTTTGGGGTCCCCCTCGGGCTATGCCAGCCCCTGGCTGGTCCTTCATCCCTGAGGGTCTCACTGGTGGGGGTGGGATATGGAGGTGGAGGGGGCAGCGCCCCTCGGCACATCCTGGGGTAAGGAGGGGGTGTTTGGGGTCTCTTCGCACCCGATGTCCCCGTCCCTGCCACGTTTCTCCTCCCCATCCCATCGGCCCTGTAGGAGCAAGGCAACCCCAGTTGTAGGGGGTCCCTTGCCCCCTAATCTTAGTGTCATCACCCCCCCCAAATCCAGCACACACCGGTATAAATAATCAGCTTTAATTGTCTGTACAAAACTCTCCAACTATGAAAATACCGTTTAAAAAGGGAAAAAGGGAGCAGGGGGAGCCAAGGGGTGGGGTCTATATACAAGAGGGATGAAGCAAGGGCACGGGGGCACCCACCGGCCCCCCAGGAGCCCCGTGCCACCCTGCCATCCCTTCTCCAAAAGCCTGTCCATGCTCAGGGGTGGTGGCAGCTCCTAATGGGGCGACTGGTCAGTGCTGGGGGTGGGGGATAGGGTGGGCGGTGGGGGTCCCCTCTTGCCTACCATGGGCATGGCTGGGGAGAGGTCGCTTTGCTGCTGCCATGAAGCCAAACCTACCCCTCATAGTGGGGGCAAAGCCCCAAAAACAAGGGGTGTTGCAGCAGTGGGATCCACGGTGGGCCGGGCAGGGGTCCCATCCTGCGCATTGGGAGGTACAGGGGGCACAGGGGGCACGGGTGGCACTGGGGGGTACAGGTGACACCGGGGGCAGCTGCCGAGCGTCCCGTGCCCTGCAATACTGTGACAGTGTCACTAGAGGTCTCCACACCTCATCCCCCACGCGGGCTGGGGACACGGACACGGCCGTGGGGTGGAGAGCCCACCCGGGGTACCCCACGTGTGGCTGCCCCACGCTGGGAAACCCCCGCACCCACATCAGGTACTACCCTGCCCCTCCCCAGCCACCCTTTCATCTCAAACACCGCTCCCCAACACCGTGTCCTGCGGGGAAACTGAGGCACGTGCCCCCTGTCACCCCACATCCCGCACCCGGAGGGGTGGCGGGGGGCTGGCAGCCCCTCCCCACCTATCCCGACGTGACGGTGGTGCCGCTGCCCAGCTTGATGATCATCTGCTGGCAGTCGTGCAGCGTCCGGCGGTCTCCCAGCTTCTCCAGCGTGCGGGCGGCCTCGGCCAGCATTCCCACGCGCTGCCCCGGGCCCGCCAGGAAGCTGGGTGGGAGGTAGCAGCAGGCCAGCAGCAGCGCCTCGGCGTGTTCCCGGGGCGTGGGGTGGCTCTCCGGCTCCCCGGCTGTGTGGGGACAGAGCAGGGGTCAGCACCAAGGGGGGTGGAAGCCACTGAGTCGTCCTTGGGGGCTCTGGCATAGGGACGGGGTTATTTGCCTACTCTGGAGCAGGTGACACAACCAAAGGATGGGCTGGGAGTCCATGTGTCCCACTGGGGTGCTGCCAGTGGGGTGTCCCACCCCATGTCCCATCATCCATGGTGCAAGGGTGCTGCGGGTGGGGAAGGGGTGTCCAACCCTGTGTCCCACCCCACGTCCCACCACCTAAGACTGCTGGAGAGTGCTGCAGGTGGGCAGTGGGGTGTCCCACCACCCAAGGTTCTGGGGTGCTCTGAATGTGGAGCGAGGTGTCTCATCCCGTGTCCCACTGCGTGTCTCACCACCCAACGTGTTGGGGTGCTGCACGTAGGGAATGAGGCATCCCACTCTGTATCCCACCAAAAGAGGTGCTGGGGTGCTGCAGGTGCGAAGTGGGGTGTCCCATCCCGTACCCCACCGCCCACGATGGCTGGGTGCAGAGTGGGATATCCCACCCTGTGTCTCTCCCCACATCCCACCACCCAAGGCTTCTGGGGTGCTGAGGGTGAGGAGTGGGGTGTCCCACCCCTTCTCCCACCCCGTGCCCACCTGTTTTGCTGCCCTGCACCCCTCTCCTGCGCAGGCTGCGGTCCAGCAGCTGGTGGGTGCGCGTGGGGCTGGCCCGGGCCATCAGCCTGGCAGTGGCTTCATGCAGGAACACCTGGATGGAGGGGGGACAGTGAGCATGGCTCATGCAGGGCACGAGAGGACCCACCAGGTGACAGGCTGGGGGGCTCACCCGGCGCATGGCGGGGCGGAGGGTCTGCGCCAGGCGCCTCAGGCTGCTGAGATCCTGCTGGAAGCCCCGGAGCTCCAGGGCAGACGCCTGGTAGAGGCAGCTGCGCTGCTGGCTGGCCCCCATCTGCTGCTGCCACAGGTTGGTGCGGGTGACCAGGAGCAGGTCACACAGCAGGAGCTGGACCGCCTGGAGGGACGAGAGGAGCTGGGTGAGCAGAGGGACGGACAGAGGGCTGGGGGGGGTGGTGCCGAGGAGGTCCCTGCGGGCAGGCGCTGCTGCGCGGGACCCCCGCCGGGCTGCATGGCAGGGGCATTGCACTCCCAGTCTGACACATGCAATGCAACTACAATGCACCCCCGCGAGGGTCGGGGGCACCTCCCGCCAGGGCTGGGGGCTCGCGGCCACCTTGTGCCCCCCCCCCACCCCAGCTCACCTTGTCGATGGTGGCCTTGGGGGGGCTGCCCAGCTCCAGGCTCTCCCGCAGGCAGCTGCTGGCCTTCTCACAGTGGCCCAGGGTGGCCTGGCTCCCGTCCTGCTTGCTCAGCAAGGCGCGGACGGCTCGGAAGGAGTGCAGGGCAGCGCGGGGAAGGGGCTTCCTGTGAGGTGGAGGGGACGTGGTCATTGCAGACCCCTTGCCAGGCGTGGCTGTGCCCCTCTCCAACACACACCGAGTGCTCCAAGTGCGTTCAGAGGGGCTGCGCCAACCCAAAGGGGATAGGAGGCACGGCCACCCCCGATGATGCCAGCACTCACTCAGAACTCTGCAGTGCCCGGGGCATGGTCTCCACCAGCGGGTAGAGGCGCTCAGCCCCCTCCTCATCTCCCTGCAGCCAGTGGATAACGATGCCAATGAAGGACGCCCACCACTTGGACACGGGGTCGGTGCCTGCAGGGCGGGAAGGACACGGGAGCGGGGTGTCCCCACTCCCATGGCCCCCCCACATGAAACCTCCCCAGTGGGGGACACACCAGCCTCACCTGTGACAGCCGCCAAGCCGGAGGTGATGGAAGGCGTGGGGCCAGGTGTGCCACTGACATCCGAGCAGCCATTGAGCAGCTGGAGGTACTCGAGGGCATCAGAGAACCGCCTGTGGGAGAGGGGCTGTGAGGGGGCTGGCCCTGTGCCAGGCTGGGGGTGCAGGGTGCCCAGCCCTGGCACTCACCCCTCTCCCTGGGCAGTGGGGCGACCGGGCTCGGGGATGGCCACACAGCACAGTGCCTTCTCCAGGAGGTGTTCACGGAAGAGCTGGGTCACCTGCGCCAGCGGGTCCACTGCGGCACAGAGAGAGGGGTCAGTGGGTGTGTCAACACCCCAAAATGGGGAGTGTGAGGCTTTGGGAGTTTGGGGTCACCTGGGTTGCCAGCAGAGCTGTAAATGGTCTCCCTGGGGACACCCTTGACTGCCCAGTCCCCATCAACGAAGAAGCGGTGGCCCAAGGGGTGGCAGAGCCACTGCATGGCAGGGGGCACGGCCCCACCGTGGGACAGGGCCACGCGCCGGGCACTGCAGAGGAAGGGGCGCTGCGAGGAGAGCAGGAGGTCAGGGGGAACTTGAGACCCCAGTCCCAGGGGACACAGGGGACCCCCACTGCCCCGAACTCACCGCCAGGAAGTGGAAGCAGCGGTGCAGGCTGGCCTTGATCCGCAGGGCGGCTGCCACGTAGATCTCAGCCAGCGCTGCCACGGAGATGGCATCGCCGGCACACTCGGCCAGGTTGACGGCGCTCAGCGCCAGGTTGATGGCCAGCAGGTGCCCCCCAGCCTGCTTCCCTGTGGAAACGGGGACAGGAGGTTCAGGGACGGGGCTGGGGGGCTCAGGGGAGATGTGGGGTGCAGGGGTCCCATCCCTCCGCCCGCCCCGTGGCGCGGGGCCGTACCGGCAAGGTGCAGCTGGTGCAGGCGGTGGTAAGCCATGGCGGCATCGCGGGCGCTCTGGCGGACGTGGGCAGGGGGTGGGGGGTCCGGGCGCAGCCCCCCAGCACGGGCAGCCAGCCAGCGGCCCACCCAGAGGCGCTGGAGCAGGTGGCGCAGGAGGGTCCAGAGCAGGCTGCAGGCCAGGTCCCCGTGGGACGCCGGCAGCGGCCGCCCCAGCGCCCCGAGCGCCGTCCGCAGGTGCTGGGCCCCCTGCGCGAAATCCCCCTGTGGCCCCAGAGACAGAGCGTCAGCACGGGCAGGGCCGAGGGGACAGGGCGGGTGGGACAGGGGACATCACGCGGGGTGGGACTCACACGGTCGAGGTCCAGGTCGGCCTGCCGGCGGTGCCGCCAGAAGAGGATGGAGGGCTCGGAGTGAGGGCGGGTGACAGGCTCCCCGCAGACGAAGAGCCGCACCACCG